TTTCATGTTTGTCATTTATTTGCCATTTTAAACCAGCAAGAGCTCACCCTTCTGTAGGTTTGCAGACTTAAAAAATCAACTTTCTATAGCAACAAGATAAACCAGAGGCATTTAGAATCATGTGCTGTGATCTGATGCAATAAAAATGTAACTCTTTGGCTACAATCGCCAGCCCGTTAAGTAGTCAGTGGAACAGGAAATGGTGTGGGGACAGAGAGAAGAAAGCATTCTACTATTTAACAAATCCTGGAAGCTGATGTTGCACAGTCAGTGAAGAAACTGAAAAAGAAATGAAGTTGGATCTTACAACAAGACAATGATCCAAAACATGCTTAAAAATCAACCTTAAAGTACTTCATTAAAAAAGTGTTTTTAGAATGGCCCTCACAATGCCCTGACTTAAACATCACTGAAAACTTGTGGGTTGAACATTTGGAGGCCTTAGATTTCAGCCAGTACTGATTAAAAGGGTGCCCAAATTTATGCATGTGCCACTTTTCTCCAATATGTTAAAATAAAGCTATTAATAAATAATTGTGCATTTTAATTTGCAGAAATGTCATATAGAAGCTCTATGCAAAGATGGTTTTAGAATCTTTTCATTTAGAAAATCACCAAAATATGTAATGACTGGGGTGCCCAAACGTTTGCATGTAACTCTAAGGGTTGTGCATTTTTGAGTTACTTTCAGCTGGGAAAAATTCTTGTTGATTTTTGAATTGTGTCACTCTGTGATAAACCAGCTAGGAGGCAAAACGATCTGTAGTCAGATGTGTTATCTGTCGCTCTTCTATGATGAAGGCTTTTCAAAACAATTTGTGCATGCATGCAAATGTGTGGTTTTGTATGTGTCCCTGAATGGTGCATGTGTGTATGTGTTTGCATGCATACCATTTTGTCTGGTATGCCCACAGCTCATCTCTTCATGTGATTGTACTGCCGGCTCCGGCTGACCCTGCCCCGCTGTCAAAATACCTCACGTTGTGTTCAATGTTTTTTTTTCTGCAATGAGAGTGCTGAGGCCAGCACCTCATTAACCTCACATTCAGTGTGAAGACAGGCAGCAGAATGAATGGAGAATTTCACTCTCAATACCTTTAGATAGAGAAAAAAATCAATGCAGTTAATATAGATTGATTGATCCATCTGAAATACCTACCACAGAAATGCAGCATGCAATGCAAAACAGCTTTTTTTTTCTAGTCATAATACAAGTTTTTAAAAATGTTCTGATTATTTTCTCCTCCACACATGTGTGCCTAAAGCTACAAATAAACTTTTCACCCTCCCAGACATTCCAAATGTTCTCAGGCTTTTCTGGCTCTTCTATTTCATGCTAATTAGACCAGAGACTGGTTCCAAATGGCAGTTACTTGATTGGTGTTTGCTGAAGAAGCTAATTACCTTCCAATAGAATTCAGGCTTGAATTTATAAATGTGGAAGTGCACTTTTGTTCCCTTTATTAATAGCAAAGAGATAAAGAGAGAGTCTAAGGGGGGAGAAGAAGAGATAGAGAGAGAGAGAGAGAGAGAGAGGGAAAGAGAGCAAAAGAGATTGTGATTCATATCACATATTGAGTAGGAGTCTTAATCAACCATGCTAACTCTAAGTATGCACATACTTAGAGGAGAGCGGGGAATAAACTAGCACATTCTGGTCTTAGCACATTCTAGATCATTTTAAAATTTTTGAGTGAGATTAATCATTTATAAAGTAACACATCTCTACTACAAATGAAAATGGAAACTTTGTTTTGACCTCCCACCATTTATGAAACACAATTCATTCAACAAAATTCTATGTTGTTCAAACCAAGTGGGCTTTCCAACCTCAATACATAAATATATATGCATCAAAATATATATGATTAGTGAAAAGAGACTTTGGCTTTTTTATTTTGACCACAAAGTAGAACAGCAAGATTGTTGAATCTGTGAATGACAAGCTTGACAAAAATGAAGTATTTTGATTTGGGAGGGATATTGTTCACCTGGGGGTCTTACAACTAACCCCACCACGTGGAGGCTCTACTTTAGCTTTCCGAGCTCTTACTGTGATTAGTCATATGCTTCAAAGTGGTGCTACATTACAGACACCATAGTGGTGATTAAAACATGAACAAGCTATGAATTCTGTGACTCTAAGTAATTATTGAAACAAAATTGCTTGCATTGTTAATAAAAAACATAGTACAAAAGTCTTCAGAGTGAGTCTAGAGACGTGTCTCATTGCTGTCAAAATTCACAGATGGTGTTGCTCTGTGAATACATAGAGATAACTTAAAGTACATTTATTTGAACCTGCTTAACTTCATAAAAATTCTGTGATATGCTTTAGCCTGTGTCTAGTTTCACATGGCCAAACACTATCTTGTAACAAGAACATGTGTCTGGGGACCTCTTGCTTTTATGTTATCCTTTTCTGACCTTACCAGGGTTGGACAAGGATAACTATGCCCAGCCTGGGAGCAGCACAGCATTGTCAGCAGAGCAATGCCACCTGGTGCAGTGGGGAGGGAGGTCAAGTGCTCTGCCTAAGGGCACAACAAGCAATACTCATTCAGTCTGGGGATGTAAACCCACAACCTTAGAGTTGCTGGCTCACCTCTCCTACCACTAGGGTACTGGTCACCCCATAAACCTTTGGTGCTGGATTGTAGTGAAATCTGCTGCAAACAAGGGTATGTCCCTTCTAAATCCCACCCCAACACGGTGTACTCTTTTAATGTTCAGAGTACAATCAAATCAAGCTAGCTAACAAAACACTATCATTAGCTGTTTTTCCCTTACAAAAGGTATGTCATGTGTTCTCTGCACACACAACACTCAGCTACACAGCCACGTAGCCATACTTGCTTATATTACATCTGTGGGTTAATGACTGGCTTTTTGTCCATGAGACAATGTTGACGAGTAAACCGTTGACCCCTACTTTGAGTTCTGCCTTCACAAGGTATTGAACTGGATTAGAAATGACATACTTAGTTTGTTCTTACCACAATAATGCATTATTCCCACCCACAGTCAGCTGAAAATTTCTCATGGTTGTCCCCAGCATTCTCATTACAAGATCATGTCTGCCCCCAGGAGATTAGGTTGTTCCCCCCCTCCCCTATTTATTGAGTATGAACTGCACCTTAGTATTCATGCTGAAATCTATACTCTTGTATATATATTTTCCATATTGTAATTTACACACACACAAACACACACACACACGCACACACACAGATACACTTACACCGAGTGGAGCCTGTGACATTTGAGAATAAGCCAGGTTGGATACATACACATCTAGATGATTTAACCTACTGTAACCTTCAACATTCTAAAGACGTTTCCCTTAGCTGGGAGAGCACATTCTCAGCTCAAATTCTCTGGAACTCTCTCACACTCATTGGCTGAGACAACTATAACTGTAGTTCCAACCTTTGCACACTCACTCAGACATACACTTAGTCTCAATTTTACCCCAGGCCATTTCTGAGGCATTTAGAAAAAGTCTAGTGTTTCTTATTGGGTACTGGTTACAGCAGCAACACATAGTGCTTGGTCTCCTATGAGATGTTATCTTTCTTTATAATGGGACTTGAAACTGCCACCAGAGAGATTAATGGCCACCTTTGAACAGGCTCTCTGTGATTTTTATGTGTTCTCCCACTCGCACGGCCTGAAACTTGGGGGTTATTCCACGGGCCAAAAGAGAAGTTATTATGTAGTGATTTATTTATTCTAGACCGCTGTTGTTTTTGCTTTATCTCGCCCCTACAGTACAGTGACTTTGGCAAAAGGATAAGTGGGGAACTGGAACAATATTGTATCGGAAGAACGCTGCGACGACTTGTCAGGTGGAGGATGTAGAAAAACACTTGCAAAGGCTTTATATCACCCTCCGTAGTCTAAAACTATACATTTTGGCTTAGGCAAGCAGAATGCAGAGAATTTCCAAAGTTTATGTTTCCTAAATAGCAGTCATATATCTTGTCTAAAGAGTAAGTTTTATGCACCAGTGTTTAACAGTCAAACTGGCCTGTGTGACACCGCAAAATAGATTTTTTACTCTCTTGTCTCCCTTGTGTTCTCCGAGCTCTTCTGTACGTGTCTGCTTTGTGCAAGAGATGGAGATTCATTCTCTGGATAGAGCAAAGATGCATGAAAGAAAGACAAAGAAACAAAGAAAAACAAGAGGCAGTCAACTGTAAGATGTCAGTCACGGACATTCTTTGTAAAAAAAAATAAAAAAAATAGGCTCACTTAAGACCCATTTAGCAAGCTTCCACAATATTTACATGTCTATCAGAGGACATAACCAATGGAAACAGTGGTGGGTGTTTAAAGCTAGTATTCCTGGCTCAATATATGTATGGTATCTAATGCACTTATGAACGGTAATAAGGCATTAGCTGTAACACTATACTTCATGTCTTGAAGAATAGGCTAACCGCTAATATAATGACAGTGTTTTTGGGAAGCTTATTAGACTGTGCTGTATGGCAGCATAATGACCAACTGGGCATAAGGGCAATTAGCAACTTGTCCATCATTTCAGTGTGGAAATTACCTTTGACAGTCCTCCTGAATGACTGTCTGCTAATTAAATGGAATGCGACTCTCATCCGTTCCAGGAATTAGCGCCCCCTATAAGTCGCACGCCTGAGGTGAGGCTGGCCAGTTGGGTGGTAGACGATTTTGTATCATTTTAACCTGCCGAACTCAATTAGCCTTCACTAGTCTGGTGTAAATGGGCTCATTTGCGCAATAGGTGTGATTTCATGGTCTCCCTATTTGAACCTCCTCTGCGGACAGCAGTAGACTTCAATGTACTTCCACAGAAAGTGAGTAGAACTCGGAGAGTCAGAAGTCATGGTTCTTTTTCATTGTACTTGCAGAGCAGAACGCTAAACAGTAAGATCACAAAACAGTAAAATTGAAACCAGATTGGTTTTATTTATCTGTTTACTCTCAATCCACTTCTCATTATGTTTGTTTGTGTTTTGCAGATATTGCCTCCAAGGACAAGATTGCAAGGACAAGAGCACGAAACACAATGGATATCCTTAATTCTCTATACTTCACCTTCACCTAGCATAGCCAGTGGACTGTTTGAATCTCATCAGGAATCCGTTCATCATTCCATCACCTTCAAACCTCTCATTCTAGTGGGATCACCACTAAGCTCATTATTTTCCCACTACTGGCCTGGAGGTGCAACTGCAGCTTTTGTTTTCTAATGATGGGGGCTCCTGGAGGGCCAGTTCTGGGTGGCTTCGGGTCCACCACTGCCCCTTTGGACATCGGTGGATGGATGATCTGGCCTGGGAACACCACCATAAGCCTGAACCAGAGCCTGTTCTGGACCGACCTAGGCACCAACCTCTCTTCCTTCTCACCCTCCACTCAGGCTGTAGCCAAAGAGGTGATCAAAGAGAAGAACTGGCCAGCGCTGCTTATACTAGTAATTATCCTGCTGACAATAGGTGGGAACATTCTGGTCATTCTGGCTGTGTCGCTGGAGAAGAAGCTGCAGAATGCTACAAACTTCTTCCTGCGCTCTCTGGCTGTGGCAGACATGTTGGTGGGCATCCTGGTCATGCCCATCTCACTAATTAATATCCTGTATGGTGAGTACCACCAAAGTAATTTGAATTAATATTTCTTCCTACATAAGTAATGTATTTATCTCTGCTATGTGTATTTCTGCAATTAAGAGACTGAGGGGCTAGTTTCACTAGAAAAGTGACTGACAGATGACCACAAAATAGAAGAGCACATACACTATTAAGATGTGCCCATTAAATACAGGGGTTCCATCGTGTACACAGCTGGAGGGATATAAAGCCCACCATCACTGTACAGTGGAGCAGTGGAACTGTGTTCTTTGGAGTGATGGAGAGCTGTTTGATACCTTTGAGATGAGTTGAAGAGTTTGTACTACAGAACTAATCATCCAATATCGGTACCTGATCTAACTAATGCTCTTGTGGCTGAATGCAATCAAATCCTCATAGCAGTGTTCCGACATCTAGTGCAAAGCCTTCCCAGAAGAGTAGAGGCTGTTACTGCAGCAAAGGAGGGACAAACTCCCCATCAATACCCATGATGAGGAACATTTTACAAAATCAGCATAATAAAGATAAAATATGTTTTTCCAACAACATCAAAATTACTTTTTCAGTTTCTCATTCTGTGAGTAAGACGTTACAAAAAAGGTTAAATTGAATGGGGGAAATGGACTTCTCTCGTAGACAGCTTAGTTGTAACCCTTCCATTTGGAGGCTGTACTTTAGCCTGCCTAGCTCTTGCTGTGAGTCGGTGAGGTGCTTCATAATTGTGTCATTCTAGAGTCACACACAACTCTGTAATTGAAAAACATCTATGATAAAAAAAAAATATTACTTTAATCACTCTTTCTGTGAATTGTGAAAAATGTCTGTCAGAAAACTGTGAAAATGTACAGGTGAAAAACAATTTACTCCTTGTCAGGTGGTGCCCTGCCCTTCTACTTACATTTCTACTACAAACCTAAGTTCCAAAAATGCTTGAACAGTATGTGAAATGCAAATAAAAAACAGAAAGCAGTGATTAAGCCCGTTACGACAGTAAAAAGGTGTCTAATGTTCTTGAACCTTCAACTTCGTTGTTTTTTGTCTTTCTGAAATTGTTGCTTGCAACACACTCCAAAAAAGTTAAGACAAGGGCAATTTATTTTTAGGAATGTTGTGAAATGTTCAAAAGACATCTTATACAGGTAATGCAATCTTGTTTGCTTGTAAATGAGCATCCAGGAAAGGTCTGAACAAGTGGCCTGAGCAAGGCTGATGCTTTCCACACTGAGTGAGACTTTTGAATAATTCAACAATGTTCCTTAGCAAGAAGAACAAGAATTTTAGGTAGTTCACCCTCAACAGTGAATTGTATCATCATCAGGGAATCCAGAGAAATATCTGTGCGTAAAGGGCAAGGCTGAAAACCACAACTGAATGCCTGTGACCTTCGATCTCTTAGACAGCACTGCGTTAAAAACCAGCATGCTTCTGTGATGGATATCACCACACGGTTCAGGATACCTGACAAACAACTGGTAATAAACGCTATTCCTTGCTACATCCACAAATGCAAGTTAAAGCTCCAGGCTTAAGGACATCGCAGTCTCCAGGTCAAAGAAGCAAAGGACCATTACACATTGTTACCAGTGTCAAGTTCAAAAGCCAAGGTCAGTCATGGTATGGAGCTGTGTTAGTGCCCATGTCATGGGTAACTTGCACATCTCTTTACCCCTTACAGGTTTATTACACACTTCTATAACCAATTGACATTTAAGTCCCTGTAGTTACTAAATTATAAGCCTTGGTGTGTAATAAGCCTGGAATTTTTTGAGGCAACATTAATGTTAGAAGATATACACACATTTTGAAGCAACGTGCATTCCCTTCTAGATGACGTCTGTTTCCAGGAACGTCTGTGTTTATTCCAACATGACAATGCCAAGTGACATTTTGCAGGTGTTACAGCAGCATGGCTGCGTAATCAGAGAGTGCAGGTGCTCCCTCTAGACTCCCGTTGAAAACATGTGAAACATTATGAAGTGCAAAATGTCACCACAAAGGATCCATACAATTGTGCAGCTGAGGACTTTTATAACAAACAATGGCAAAATAATTAACGACTGTATCAGTTGATGTCTTCCCTAAATAAGTAAGAAGCTGGGAAAAGGAAAGATGATCTAACACAGTGAAGTTCCTGTTTTTGGAAGGTGTTGCAGGCATCAAATTTGGAATTAGCATATTTTTGCAGAAAAAAACTATTTCATATTGGTCAAACAGAATTTACTAATCACCACTTTCTCTTTTATTAGCATTTCCCATCGTTTTGAAGTTGAGGTTTGTTCTTTTACTATTCTGTATGACACAGTAAATGTTTTTTGTTCCTCTGTACAGGTTTTATTGTCTTATTGTTGGGCAAATTGTTCTGTGTGTCAGATAATTATGCTTATGAGCCCATTCTAACTGAAACATCTTAAGCCATGTCCACGGTCAGATCATCAGCCTTCCCCTGGGGATTTCAAACACTGAATTCCTGCAGTCCCCGCTCTCCTGGTCTTCGCCATTTCGCATTAATTCAAAATAATCCTCCTTTGCAATTTGCCACAAAAAAAAAAATAAAAAATCCAGTCAAAATAATTTAATCAGAACAGGTTCCACTATACAAATTGCAAATTGCAAAGCCCCCATGACTAATGAAATGGGTTATTTTAGACAAGATACTGTGAGCTCAGTTTGGAGACAAGACTGTGGGTGTCAAGACATGGCATGACTGCTTTGATTGCAGGCTATGAGGTCACAACCGACACCACTGGAATTTTTCAGTATAACTATCAATAGATCTGTGTGTGGGTCTGTGTGTGGTGTGTGTGGGGGGTGAGTATTAAAGGGCATTTTTATTTTATTTTCTTTATTTCCTTGGAATCCACGTACCAAAAACAGTCTAATTTATTTTTACATGACCATTTTCCAAACTCTCCTTGTCTCTTAGTAGTCAACAGGTTGTTTTTTTACTGTATCTGTAAGAATACAGTCTTAAATATGTAAATGGCAACATTCTGACAGGCTGCTCTGTATTGTCTCACTCACAAGGCAGTCCAGACTGAAACACTCTTTATAACTTCTTTATAACTATAATCTGTGGATGTTGTAGTCCCTTGTATTTAGGCATTTTAATGAGCTGGTGTATTTGAGATGAGGAACTTTGGTTGTTAGTGTGAGCGTAGAAAGTGGGAACACATTAAAAAAACATGGGGGAAGACTAAAGGTCTCATGTTAGAAAAATTAGAACTACTGCGTGGATGAAGTGGATTTTGACCCTAAAAAACTCAGTGTTCACACAGATGAAAAGTGACTGAATCAGGTCTTTCATGTGAGACCCTACGAAATAATGTCAAATGACCAAATCAGATCTCCTTCATACAAAAGCAGATCCTACAAAATAAATGTCATCTGACTGAATCTGATCCTTCACATGAAAGCAGGTCCTACAAAACAAGCGTCATCTGACAGAATCAGGACCCCACATGAAGGACCCTACGAGCAAATGTCAGGTGACCAAATTGGCCTGTTTCATACTCCAACTGTTTTCATGCTACAACTGAAATAGATGCTCACTTCACTTTCCCAAAAACTAAGGCACTAAAGGTGTTTGCTTTACCAATATCAAAAGTGGTTGAGTAAGAACCATAATAGGGTCAGACAAAGAAATGGAGGGAGAAGCAGAGTGACCAGCCATAGGAGGGACAACTAAAGTTCTGTTGGATGGAGGGCAAACTCCTTCACCCTACTGAACCCAAAGAGAGCAGGACAGATAAAGTACGGCAGGCTTAAGAAGGGGATATAGGTAAATGAGTTGTTTCATGTGGTATCACAAAAATGAATTCACATAAGCCTGTTTTTGCAGCATAACTGCCATAAATGGACTGTGTGAAAAGGGAAGTGAATGGTACCCTTATTCATTTCAAAAAAGTGGAGAAAGCTCACTGTTCCATGACATGGCCCCTTTAATGCAGATAGACAGAGATAGCTGAAAAATGTAAAATGTTCTTGTCACACTGTGTAACACACTGGTGAAGATAGACAGTACAATGGAGCAGCTTTATGTAATCCCCACTTCACAGTAGACAAGAGAGGGAAAACTGGCAAAGTTTGCATTACGTTTCATTACTTTTGTCTAGAAGTCTGTAGTAACATCGCCTGTGGCTGAAACTAAATTGTTCCCCTTTGTGGCCGTCTCGGGACAGCTGAGCTGTCTATCAAAGACTATCCCTGGCTCTTGTTATCCAGAGCGGGGCCGTCCCTGTCCATCTCGCCCCAGTCAAGGGTGTATGTTTTTGGGATGCTTCGCTGATCCTCCTCATCCGCATCCACTCAGAGTGAATAGTGCCGTCATCCTCTGTCGCCCTATTGATCACTGAAGATGTATTTACATTCAGTTAACCCAGCACAACTACATCCACTGTAGTTTAGTCCTACAAGATAAAGCAGGACGTGGATGCAGAAGAAGAGGTGCTTATTGATCTGTGTGCACAGCAGTGTAGCCCTTAAAGAGATATTGATCACTAGAGCACCATTCGGACTGTCAATGCAAACAGATCACCACAAGACTAAGAAGAGGAGACATTATCCGCACACTGATTAGCACACACACCTTCCTCTATAATGGATGTAATGAAGAACATGCACTTACACGCAAAACAGACACACAGAGACAGATGTAGAAGTTTAAAATGCAGTACTGTCCAAAAGTCCAGCCAAAATGGTCATTTTTACATAATACTAGTTTGGTTGCATTTTTTACCCTATAGATCAGTGGCTAGGCTAGCAGTCATTTGATGTATTTGTGTAATGCATGCTGGGTGCTGTAGTGAGAGAACACTGATGAATGAAAATATAAAAGCAACAAAAACTGTGAATTCTGTCAAACTGATGAGGCTGGGGGATACTATGCTACAGAATACTTCATAACACAACATATGACATAATAAACTCTAGTTTTAGGCTGAGATGGCTTTTAAGCCAGTATTATTAACTACAGGAATTTTTAGCTTCTTAAAATCAATATTGGTCACAACATT